GCTTTGAATCCTTACAATGATACTAAAGACATTTACTATAATCTACGATCAAGGGTCTCCAGTTTGTCGATGTTAAGGAATTAAATATGGCAATAAGGACTCAAATAATGCTACCTACAACCTACAAATACTGTCGATGACGTTTAAACAACCCTGAGTACTATGGAAGAGTTATCGCAGAAACTCGCATTTCCATGGTGCCATTAAATTCAATAGGTTGAGAATTTACCAAACCTACAGAGCTGAACGGAGAAATGAGTCCATTTAATTGCGTCGAAACAACAAATAATGCATCCTTTTACATAAAATTCCTGATGGAGAGGAGAGATGGATCGTTTGAGATAACATTGGTGGGGAAATGATTATTTCAATATCTTGCATAAACTCCATTCTCTAAACTAGGCCAGGAACTTATCTTTAGACAGTTCTTTCATGCATTTGCCGGGATGCTTGTGGAATAATCTGTTCAGAAAGGCTAAAGCTGGACGAAGCAAGTACAGTTGAAGTTTGTTTTTGACAACAAATGGGAGAACAAAGGCAAAAATTAAAAGATGGACGCCAATGATAATTTAACTGAAATGGGTAGTTCATCAACATGACAATCCTGCCCTCACAAAGCAATTCTGAACTAACAAAAATTCGGGTAATGTGCTGAGCAATCAAACCATATCCTCCATATTCGCCAGACCTTGACCAATTTGAAAACAGCTTTTCATGCCCATATAACACAGTCTAAGTGGAAATAGAAATTAAAAAGCGACAGAATTCGAAAATCACATTTTAGTTTGAAAGGGAGGGGGGAGTCGTGGAGTCATAAGCGCAATGGAAAAGCCGCAAACAATGGGGAAAATTACATTACATAATAATATATGATGAAGTAAAGCTTGTTTTTAATATGTCCGATCTCTTATTGGCTCTTCTTACGCCAATATATTTCATGGCTGTTGATCATTCTAGTTACTGAAAACGTACCAACAGAAAACAAAACTGTGCCATCTGACCTGATAGACGTAAGCATTGCCATTATTACATTGATTGACAGCAAACAACAAAGAAAACGCAGTTCATTAGACTATGATGAAATGTGAACCGTCATTCCAATAGGCAAATATTGAATACAACTTGTCACGAACGAGCTATTATTATTGTTATTCCCAAACGTCTCGAGTTAAAGATAATGAGTTCTGGAGAAATTCGTGCTTCCATGAGCTAATTTTCCCAAGACACCTTGTACTATTGAAAAGTATGTTCCCATTGTCTTAGTCGATACTTTATTATGGACTTTAACGAATCAACTTTTACCAACCCGACCTAATCAAGCGCAATGTCATATCAATATTACACACAGAGAAAGATGAGTGGGTAAATATCCATTCAAAAATAGTTACTTTGAAATGAAAATAAGAATAATACGCAAAAAATAGAAGATATCAATTGAAGTGTAAATTTCAGTTAATCATTGAGCTGCTCTTGACTCCAGCTTATAATCTGAGGCCGTAAATAAGGAAATGATTTTGATACTTGAATTGAGTAGACTATGTACTTCCTTGCATAATCTATCGTCGTCTTGGCAATTAAAAAAATAGCCTCGTAATTTCATATTGGCACGGTAACAAGATCTTTAATCATTCCTACTATATCAAAGTTGCCTTACCACTTACAGAATAATTAAACAACGTGCGTTTAGTAAGTTGATAATCTCTAGCAAATTCTCGCAAGAAACCAATACCAGAATGACTCAGAATTATATCACTACACAATTTGCGAGAACCGACGTGCTCCAACAATGATATAACGTAATGTCTTATTGGCTTTACTCAAAATAAGCTTTTACTTCCGAATATATACTGCACGAGAAAATCTCTTATTTTGTAAGGAACTTGCTGGAAATCTAAGCATTAGCCCTCATAAGTGGTAATAAAGAAAGCAGTGAAATGAATTGAATTTTATGTGGCATTACGAGACAGCAAAATTGAAGCAAGTACTTTTTCATGAATGTTTTATTTGCCTTCAAAGTTTAAATTTTATTAAAGCACAAGCCTGCCAAAAACTAAGTTGTCATTAAAGGTCAACTGGTGAAGTTAGTAGGCTAATTCAATTGCGAAATATTTAGCAAGGCATGAATATTACATGAGTCAATTTACATTTAACAAAGCGTAGTTAAAGAAGATTTAAGGAATAATTTTAAGTGCCAATTTAGTTAAAAGATAAGAAAGATCGATTATGAGATCAAGTGAAAATTAAAGTAGCCTGATTCTCGACTAATACATTTGCCTATCCTTCATTAAATTACAGAAGCTCACTACTTACCTGTTGTGCGAAATGACTAAGCACGTCCACCGGTAAAGAATATCCACTTTCCGTTACGATTGCAGAATTGCTGAGTGCCATATGAGATAATTTTATCTCCTAAATGAAATGAAGTGCTAAGATCGATCTTTCTTGATTAAAAGGACAGCTCACGAGGACTGCACCTCATTGGCAGGCATTTGATCCAATCCAAAAGGCAGTTCAATAAAATTATATTATACCCCATTTAGCAAATAAGTTACAACTCAATTACTAAAAGCCAATGAAGCGAAATGATTTTATAGTTTAACTTTTTTCATTCTGCATCAATTTTTAACTTGCCTGAAAAAATAAATTTTGAATTTGTTCAGCAAATAAAAATAAGTGATAGGAGACCCAAAATACAAGCGGCTTTTTAAATTTCTAGTAGAAATAAGTGTAAGTAAGTAAGTAAATGTGAGAAAATAAAACATATGGAAAACAGGTGTCTTGCTCCTATATTTTGCAATTTATTTTGCTTTTGAAATTTGACAAATTCCAGCGTAAAGTGAGCCGATTAGCATAAGGAGATTCCTAGAGAATAGTATGCATGGAAGAAATTGAATATATCCACTTTCAGCTGTCAGATGTGAAGACGTTTAGGTTTGGTTTTGATGCAAATACTAGCATTTTATCAAGAGAACAAAATACGCCATTGATAGGCATTAATTAGAGTCTTTAGAAGAAATTACTCGTAGTTAGTACCACGAAACAACATAACTAATCGATAAAGAAATTCGAGAGTGAATAGTTTGGAAAAAAATTCATATTTCTGGATGAAGGATTTGGAAGTACCACTTTTATTACGAGAGTTTAGCTTGGAACTAATATATATTGAGGTTGTTTGATAACCAACCTTTGTGTTGAACATAGTTCGCATCCTTTAGGTTACCCAGAATGTTCCAAATTGTCACCACACAGTGAAGTCCGAAATTCAGATATTCAAGTTCAAAGGTGACTATTTACTCTAACTGAGATATATGATCAGACAAACAGTGCGGATCGTCGTGTGAAACACCGAGCCACAAGGTCTATGATGGAGTTTCAGCAAATTTCAGAAGATAAAAGTTACCGAATTGGCTTATTTATTCGTTGCAATGTGTACAATTAAGGTTCCTTACGGCAAGAAAATGAATATGTGTTAATAGTGATTTATAGAATTAAAACGACCAAGATTTACGGAATAACTAATCACAATAAGTGCTACTGATCAACACTTCTTTAAGACAGTTTCACACGCAGACTTAAAGGAGAGATACTATAATTATCATAGATAGAAAGAAGAAAAAACAGTTTTAAGTTCATCAGAATTCGAAGTTCCTATAACGAACCAAAAAGCAGCAACAGGAGGGTGAGAAGTTATCAGGACTCTTTGAAGTTCCTAAAAAGTGTTCGGACTTCAAAGTTCGTGGTACCGTGACAGAAATTAACAGTTACATAAATTAAAGACCCCACTCACTAAATTATTGTCCTTAAACTTCAAATTATGCGCGCTTTTACAAGTTTTTATTTTGCAAAAAAAGGTGATAACAACGACATCATTTGGTCTTTAGAACAAGGCGCCACCTCTCAATTAAACTTTCATTACTTCTATTCCTCACAACTTCCTTTATTAACACGGTATTTAAATCCAAGTCTCCTTGACTGTGACGTAAGAAAAATTAATGACGACCCCTAATTGGTAGTCTCGGTCAACAATCTTTCGTAAAGTTCCTCTTACTGACAAAGATTAATGTGACTAATAGAATATATCATATAATTATTCGTTCCGCTTCCGGATAAAAATCATCATAAAATTTTGGGGAAATTTGATCACTATAACAAGAATTGCCAGAAAGTTTAGTTTTTCGTAATTTGAACAATGAGTAATTCATTAGATACTCATTTTGCAAAATTTCACCACAAATAATAATTTATTTAGGGAAATTTATATAATGATAGGGTTGAAATTACTCATTGGAAAAGACAGCATTATTCATGGACATAAATTTGTTAAAAAACTAACCAAAAAAGGTTAGCACGCTCCAGTGAATCAAATTTAAACGCTGGAGTCAAATAGCATGAACTTTGCACAATTCTTTGTTTGAGAATGTAACTATTAATCAGCACTCAATCTATGGTTCGTCACTCAACCGTTAGGGTATACTTCTCGAATCGAATACCTGGGTACACACACAGAAGGGGAAGTACCGTCCAGCGTACTTATATCGTAAGTTAATTAGAAAAAGCCCCCTTAACAGAGTCAATCACGCTACTCATTTGGTTGAGAGCAAGAAATACCACCTGGTGTCGTATAATTGTAAGTTAACTTGGCGAAGTCACTAATGCAAGTCCACATCCTATCATTTTTTTGCCGAATAAGAGCTATGCATTAATGACAAAAAGCCATTGACCGTTAGAATATATGGAAACAAATTAATTCAAAAAAGGACGATCAATTGAAATAGTAGATTCTAAAACAATTAGGCACCTAACAACTACAACTTCAATTATATGAACTCTCATGGAAATCTCATTCTATCACGAAAAAAAACACAAGATTAGAATAAAATTCGCCTTCATCTACGATTTAGGTGCCAGTAATTCTCTTTACCAATATTCCCCGATAAAAAGGCTACCTGAAGTTACGATATTTCCTCAAAATAATAAAGTAAAACGAAATGTAGACTCACTGGTTCAGATGACATCTCGGGTTGAGGAGCCGGCGACATATTAAGACTAGAAACAATCCTCAGTGAAGGTTTAGCTCCAGATTTTTGTTGAATTCTTCCAGGTGCTGATTCATCTCCACCTTTATTAGTTCCTCCCACCTTAATTTTGAAGCTCTTCTTGATGTTTTTCATAACTCCAGAAAAGGGGGAAACGGTTATCACCGAGGATTTGTTTGATGTATTTGCATTCTCTGCAGAAGTTTCAGATTCACTTTGTTCCTTAGAGGATTTTAATGGCTTAGAGATTGCTGAATCGTCTTCCACGTGCTTCTTTTGCCATGGAAGCTTTAAACTACCAGGAGCTGGAAGGGTCATAGTTCGCTTTGGTTTCTTTTTCTTATCTTCCACCTTGACCTCCTCCTTTAATTCTTCAGACTCTGCCACTGATGCATCTGCGATTTCAGTTGGTTCACTTGCGTCTTCCTTTACAGGTTCGGGTTCATTCAATTTTGACTGTCCTTCTTCTTTAGGAGAAGACTTTACATCTTCGGTTTCAAGCTCTTCAGTTACTTCTTGGTGTTCGTTCGTAGCTACCTGGGGACTAGATTCATGCACATCTGTTTCCTCTTCATCAATATGTTCTTTGACATCAACCTTGTGCTCCTCGTCTGAGTTAATTTGCTCATTTTCATGTTTAGATTCCGAGGGCATGTCCTGTGGCTGAGATTCCTGGACTTCATTTTTATGTTCCTTGATTGTTTTCAGCTGTCCATTCTCATCTTCCAGATGACCCTTTGAATCCTCACTACCTTCAAGGGCTTGGGGATCGGTGGCCTCGCTCGAATCATCCAAATCGTTTTTCTCTCCCTTTTCAACCAAAGTGCGTTGAATTTGCATTTCTCCGTTCGTTGCAACAGTCGTATTTAATATGTAAAGGTGGCCCTTTTTGGGACTATCCGGTGAAATAATTACATTTGTACCACTAGTGCTTAGTGCTTGCATATCTTCAGATGTAATTGTGACCAATCCCTTGCCGCCATTATCAGCAGCGTCATTTTGGTCATCACTCATTTTACCTTCTCTCACGCGCTCTCTTTTAGCTAAGCAGTTGCTGGATCAGTCGAAAGTGGGTTGTGCTAGATTTTGCTAGCTTGACACAGGTACCTACCACCTCGCGTTTTGCCTTCCCACTATCCACGCTCTATATCGCTATGTGCGCTTAAGGCTAGATGCGTTCTACCTTTATCACGTGTTCGCAGTGTGAGTGCGATGACGGTGTGTCTGTTCAAGGTCTGTCTGTACCACTAGTAAAAACGCGCAATAGCTGTTAGTCACTCCAGCACGAGACTGGTGTGCATTTCCGGTCTGTCCACTGCACTAACTTAACCTAAGTTAGCCAACTACCGGCTTCCTATTGGTGCATTTTTAATGATTACTCCAGTTAGATTGGTGACTTAAATGAATTGAGTGGTGGGAGCAGGGAATAGGTAGACTTGTTTATTTAACGGGGGCTCAGAAATTAACTGCAACTTTCCACATGAACCGATTTAATTTTAAACCATTCATATGACCTCTTCACTAGGCGGTTACAAGTCAATAATTGCTACCTGAAATCCATATAATTTGCTTAAATAAAATTCACTTGAACTGCCCTAATGATAACTAGACCATAAATCGTCAATCCAAATTTAGAAAATCAGTTAAGAATTTTTATGAAGTAAGAAATAAGTTGAGCATAGCCGTTTCGTTTTCGATTAGCATATTTCTTTCGTTTTAAAGCCGTATGTCTTTGATTGTGCCCGTTCGCCGCATGCAAAACGAAGATCCCCGGGTCTTCACAGTTGAATTATGTCCAGAGGAACAAATCCATTTTTAAGGGCAATTTGTCTTTCCTGAGTTTTATATGGGTGTGTGACTACTCGACATTTTTGCTTTACGACGTAATAATTTAGCATCATCGTGTGCTATTTACATGTAATTTCTAGCATTGCTATGCTTTAGTCTTTCAAATATTCCGAAGTTCAAGGCCTTGTAGTGTTCATGAATACCGGCATACGACTTGATTTGCCCAAGCACGGTTTCCGCTCAGACTTAGAGCATTTATTTTGTTTTAATCATAGCACCTACATTGAAAGGAGAGGGGTGTGCGATAGACTTACCTCCAAGTGGTGCACCCTGGGCAACGTATACTCATACGGCAAAAAAGTCTATTAACTGGCGATTGACTTCTGGCTTAAAACTATAATGGCCCAACTGTATGCCATATTCTACCACTTCCGCAGTACTCATCCTACCTTTTCTCTGCCTTTGTGTCTGTCTCTTTAAATATATAAATCACTTCATGTCTGTCTCTTTAAATATATAAATCACTTTTCTGTTCCCCACCCCTCGAATTTCTGTTACTTTGATGTTCCTTCCCCCTATGAAGCCCGAAGTCAGGTAAAGGGCTAATGATAACCATCAAGACGCCTGACATTTGATATAAATAAATGAATAAATTAAAAGGAGATGTACAAATAAAGCCCTTTTCAACTTACGATGCTGACAGGTGGAAGATGTTGGAATAAAAGAAGCTAAAATTTGTGGGTAGATCTTAACACGATGAGCAATTAACAGCTGAAATAACTATTGGTATCTCATAGTCCTTAATATTTTCACTGTTAGAGCTATTTTTAGAAAGTATAGTGCAGTTAAGAGTTGAGCTAAGGGCAATAGCGTGTGCGTTTCTCATTAAGCACTCAGCATTGTTGTGCTCCTCAGTAACGATGAGTATTGAAAATCCCTTCCTTTTGAATAGCCTAAGGAATTTAGAGGACAAGCACAATTAAACACATTCTTTGCAACCTTATAAGTTGCTTTGTAAGTCAATACCTCTTGACAGAGCATAAATACATGAGAGAGAAAATCGGTTGCTGTTAGTGTGGTTAGTCATTTCACCTTTTGCAACTGAAAACTAACTCATAACTTATAATTCATCCGTGCGTTGAATCTCACAGGCATCATCAAACATTGGAGATTTCGGTTGCTGTCGGCAATTATGGAAGCCAATCAGGCACTAATTGTATCGATTATAGTAGCAAACCAGGGGTTTACGATAGATTTACCTTCACATGGTGCACCCCAGGCAACGCATACTCATATGGCAAAAAAATAATAAATAAATAAATTTTGAAGGGAGTGGACAGGAAATATGCCTTTTAAGAAAAAATTGAAGCTTCTCCTTCGGGCAATTTATATCTGAATTTTGTCACAACTCTTTGTACTCTCCATTTGGGTGGGAAGACAAAACCTACATTGAAAGTGATTTCAGTTGCCAATTATCCAATATTTTTTGAGGAATCTTAAATAATAGCAAAAATGTAATTTTTCTACTGATCATAACAGGGATAAAGGTGTATGAAGACTCGATTGAGGTGTCACGATTAACTCTTCTGTTATTTTGGCAATCGTTTGCATCCTTTGGTTCGTGCTTTTGTGTTCTGACAGTTTATATTCGTGGAAAAATTTTGTCATGATTTCACTGAATAAAGTCGCATAAGAAATATGTCAGCAAAATTATATACCTGCTTGAGCGAAAATATAAGCTGAGTGATTGTTTTTGTTGAAAAAGAGGAAAAAAGAAGCAAAAAGAAAAAGTAGAACACAAAAGAATATTAAGATAACGGAACTAAGAATTTTTCGACCATTTATCCAGGTGGTTTAATTGCTCCAGTTCACAACTACGTCAATATAGTTACTATCTCAAAATTTAGTTTTCTTTCAGGTGAATTCCAATGAGGGATTTTATAGTTCGTATTAGTAAATTTTATACTAAAAGTCGAAACCCCTCAACTTTTAACTGTAAGAAATCGATTTTAATTGGTTAATAATAAAATCAATAAATTTTAAACCGTGGAGGGCAAAAGAGGGGCTTAGTTATCATTTATCAGATGTGTAAGTCACGACTCAAATTTCATGAATTGTCCGCCTAATTTGTTGAAAAAATCTTGTGCAAAGTGACCAAGGTTTAATAAATGGCAATTCGAACAGTTACCTTTGTTCCAAAGCATCTATGTTTTCCCTTAGTGGAATGCATAATCTCAACACAGAAGTGCTGGAATAACCTTCATATTCCTTAATTCAGAGTTGCACATAATCTGATGTCCAATTTTTCGGCCATGTCCACCTCAGTTTAGTCAGCAAATATTTATGTAACCCAATTTTTCAATCTCCTATAGGCTTACACATTGATTGGGTCATTGGCTTAAGCTAACTGCATATGATTCCGAATTGAGGTTTATAGGCATGTTTTTCGAAATATAATCCGCAGTTAGTGATTATAATACAATGGGGAAAGTGGTTTATAAAGCCAATTTAATATATGCCCTTATTTGTCCTCTTAAGTAAATAACTACACCTAATTTATAGTGCGTATATCCACCATAAAGTGTGAGTATTCAAGTCTTACAATCCCACTGATTTACGAATCTGATGTACTCTTACCACTACGTCTGAGCACATAAATTATTACCCAAGCTTACAGTTTGAGAGGATAGTGGTTTTACCAACTGAAAAGAAACATCACTATGCAAATAAATAGAAAATTTTATTTGATTTAAAAAAGGGTTTAGAAGTCAGTACCTGTAATTCGTTTAATAGGGATGAATAAGTGGAAGATCTAAACAATCATAGGCATATGGATACGAAATTGCATTAGACGTAGGACTTTCATAAAATTAGTTATATGAATGTAAGTTTGCTTTTTTCCCCTAGAAATGATGATTGTAGTGATTATGGTGCCCGTTATAGGTAAAAAGTCGACCCTAGCAAGATGGGAAGTAGATTTATGCACATACAAGAGGTTTAATAAATTTTAGCAATAACAATCATTAATCCTGAAATGGAGAAGAGAGTTAATTGGCTAATAATGATTGAAGCATGTTAGAGGGAGACCAATAAAATGTATATCAATCATACCTTTCTCAAAGTTTTCAATTTGTCTGCTGTTTTTGGTTGAATCTCTATTCATGATACATAGAATATGTATTTATTTCGAATTGCAGGTGTTTTGATAGCTACTATTAGCCCTTTAGCTGACATCGGGCTTTACAGAGGGGGGGGGACATCAAAGTGAAAAAAATCGATAGGGGGAACAGAAGAGTGATTCACAGATGTAAAAGTGACGGGCAGACACAAAGGCAGAGAAAAGGTAAGTTGAGTATTGTGGAAGTGGTCGAATATGACACACAGTGGGGTCATGGTAATTTGATGTCAGGAGTGAACTGTCGGATTATAGACATTTTGCTGTATGATTATGTGTTGCCCAGGGTACGCTATGTGGAGGTAAGTCTATCGCACATATAAAGTTCAATTAAAATAATCCATTAGTTGGCCTTTCTCGACATAACAGTTTTTACTCTGAGGGTGTGCGATAGACTTACCTCCACGTGGTGCACCCTGGGCAACGTATACTCATATGGCAGAAAAGTCTATTAACTGGCAGTTGACTTCTGACTTCAAACTACAATCACACCACTGTATGTCATATTCGACGACTTCCACATTACTCACTTCACCTTTTTTCTACCTTTGTGTCTGTCTCTTTTGCATCTTTGTAGCACTTCACTCTATGCCATATTTGACTATTTTCACAGTACTCACTACCTTTTTTCTACCTTTGTGTCTGTCTCTTTTACATCTTTTAAACACTCTTTTGTCCTTTTTTCTACCTTTGTGTCTGTCTCTTTTGCATCTTTGTAGCACTTTTCCGTCCCCCTCCCCCTCCTCTCGACTTTTTTCACTTTGATGTTCCTCCCCCCCTGTGAAGCCTGAAGTCAACTAAAGGGCTAATGATAACTATCAAAACGCCTGCCATTTGATATAAATAAATAAAGTATTTACTCCGGCTGAATCGTGAATGTGACTATATTATAAGGATAAACCAATACTGAGTACAGTATTTTCCAAGCCGATAATATTACTATCACTCTCTATATATCGAATTACAAACGAAACCTCCAAATATTGCTCAAATATACGAGAAAATCTGTCTCATTGAAAGTTAGATCCTTTTCACTTGGTGGTGATTTTTT